GAGCGAAAAATCACTCCCAAAGTTGCACTTAGAGTAATTACTGAGACAAGTGAGCTAGTTAAAGTTTTAGCTTTAGCGATTTATACTATATATACAACTTACAATTGTTTAATAAAGCACACATAATTAGCCTTAAAAAAAAATAATAATAATAATTAATGATTTAAAAATTATTAAAGTTGAAATTTATAATAAAAACATAATAAGTAAACTTAAATTTTTGAAAGTAATCATATATTTTTTATTAGTTAATTAATTATCTTTAATAAAATTTATATTATTTCAAAATTTAAAATCAAATTGAGATAATTAAAATTTTTAGAAAAGTTTAAAAAATAAGTAACTATAAAAAAATAAATACAATAGATAAAAAAATTTTTAAGATTTATTTCTTTTTTATAAAAAATTTCTATTAATATTTTTGTTTCAAAAAAAGAAATTTTCATTATTATATTGTTTATTCTTTTTTTAAAAAATTTTTTTTACTATAAATAAAAAAGTATTTTTTGATTTTTTTTAGCTATCAAAATTTTTTGTTTTTAATTAAATAAAAAAAATTAGATTATTCAAGATCACGTGTGTGTGACATTAGCATTCAAAAAAAGTATAAGAACGTACGCGTTTGTAAATAACGTATTACGTCATTACTAAATAACAAATGGCGAAAAAAGCTTCTGTCTTTAAACAAAAATATTTTCCTACTTCGATGGAAAACCAATCTTTCAACAGCGAAATAGTGTCAACGCCTACGTTGGAGAGAGCGAGGAAACGTAGGCGAAGTAATGAGCACGCAGTAAAGGAGGGAGAAAAGGCAATAAACATTCAGGTTGTTGTGAGATGCAGGTAAGACCGATAACATGAGAATAATGCCACGAAGATATTTTATTTCTCAGAAGCGAATTTTGTTAAATAAAAAATTACATAAACAGGGGAAGAATTGAGCGCGAAATAGCAGCAAATTCACCAGTTATTGTCAAAACGGCCGCCCGAGAGGTACAAGTTCGGACAAATCCTCAGGATACTTTACCCCATAAAACATATACATTCGATAGGGTTTTTGGTCCGGAGGCGAATCAAAAAAAACTATTCGATACTATTGTAGTTCCAATCTTAAATGAAGTCAGAGCGGGATATAATTGTACACTTTTTGCTTACGGGCAAACTTCAACAGGAAAAACATTTACAATGGAAGGAAAACTTGACACAAACGATGGGGCATTGAATCCAGATGCTGGTGTTATACCACGTTCGCTCTACAATATATTTGAAACGTTGGAAGAAGAATCAGCGGACTTCTCGGTCAGAGTTTCTTATATCGAACTTTACAACGAAGAGTTAAAAGACTTACTATCTTCAGAGGATGACCCGCCAAAGTTAAAGATCTTAGACGACAATAATAGGAAGGGTGTGCTCCATGGTCATGAGGAGGTACTTATCCAAAATGCGGAACATGGAATACGCGTATTAAGACAAGGTTCAATCAAGCGTCATATGGCCCAGACCAATTATAACAAGAACTCCAGGTATAAAGTGACATATAATTAATAAAGAATAACTATTCCATTACTAATATGGGTATTTGAAATATAAAATAGTCGTTCTCATTCGGTATTCTGTATCACGGTTCACATAAAAGAAACAATGCCCGATGGAGAGGACTTGTTAAAAGTCGGTAAATTCAACCTGGTAGATCTTGCCGGTTCCGAAAATATAAGCCGAACGGGAGCTGAGAATATCAGGGCCAAGGAAGCAGGAACAATCAACAAAAGTTTATTAACATTGGGACGATGTATTAATAGTCTAAACGACCATGCCGTTCATATACCGTACAGGTTAGTGAAAAGTTAACGATTTCAAATAGATTTGTTTATTTCCACCCTGTTGTAAAAATCAACTAGGTAAATGAAAGAAGTATTAAATAATATTCAGGGAAAGTAAATTGACGCGACTATTACAAGACTCGCTAGGAGGTCGAACAAAAACTTGCATAGTTGCAACTGTATCTCCTGCGAAGCAAAGTTACGAAGAAACTTTGTCGACACTAGATTATGCACACCGCGCGAAAAATATTCTCAATAAGCCCGTTGCCAATCAGCGCGTCACCAAGAAAGCATTGATAAAAGAGTATATCGGTGAGATTGAACGCCTGAAAGCGGATTTGCTGGTATCGTAAAGAATTCATCCAAGATGAAAGTTACTCTGTATGCCTTCATTTTAAATAAAATCTAAAATATGCAGGCTGCCCGTGAGAAAAATGGGGTATATATGGCGCAAGAGTCATACCAAAAACTCGTTGACGAGAACCAGAGTCGTAAAGATGAGAATGATGAGCTAAGAAAAGTGAATGAAGATCTCAATGAAAATATACAGAAATTGGAACAAGAAAACACGCAAGTGAATAACAAGCTTGGTAAATATTTGGTGCCTACTTTCGAGATAACAATTAGAAAAAAATAATTCACCGAACTATACCACTTGCGATATAAGCTCGTTATATCGCAATCGATAACCATAATCGCAAGACTTTTCAGGAATTTCACGAAGCCCTCTTATGTATGACGTCGCAATTCGAATCGAAACTTGGTGAAATAAACTTGATACACATTGAATTCGGGCGGTCAGTTGTCGATAAAACGAAAGAATTCATGGAAAACCGAACAACGGTTATTTTTATTATAAGTTATTATGCATGTACTTTTTCTTTTTGTTGAATTAAAATTGAATGCGTGACGGTCTTTGATGTACCTTTAGGAAATTTCCGAAAATCTGAAATATATTGATAACAGGCTCGATCTTTTTGATAAACAAAAGGATAATGTAATCCAATTGCTAAAGAATGAAGAGAAAGTTGCATCAAACTTTTATCAGGAGCTCTCTAAATTTCGCGAAGAATCGACAAAAGATTTGATGCAAAAAGAATTAGAATTACGCGCGAATTCTGCAGCAATGCTAGAAGGATTGAGGCATCAATTATCGGTTCAATTTGATAAGGTGAGAATCATCAAATATTTTTCAATATGCGCAGTTACCAGATTAAAATGCATGCATTCATTAATATTAATGGTAAAAATTTTGATATTCGAGGTTCGATTATTCCACGATAAGATTGAGGATGACCTGTCCTTCTTAGGGAAAGCGACCCAATCACATATTGAAGCACAGAATCGAGTCATTGGGAATTATAGAAACATCACACGGGATACTACAGAGGCCGAGGTAAAATTAAATAGTCCGATTTTGAAAAGAACAATACTTGATGACCTCGTTAATCGAAAAAAAACCATCATTTATTAGAAAAAGTTTTTGATGGAGCAAATTGAAGCACTGACAAACGTTGTACAAGAGGAGAGATCCAAAAGAATGTCTATGCAAGTAGAATTTTTGGCAAATATCGCAGCTTACATGACAAATTTCGAGACATCTCAGTCGGCTAAGCTCGAAGCCGTTGTCGGAACAATACAAGATTCCATTAAAAAGAGTGTTGATTATATCCTTTTATATCCTAAAGCCACAATTACTGTATTCACAATGTTTGTGACATCACCTTAACTTACTTCTATACCCATAGGGACATTTAAAGAAAAAAACATAGGTGCCTTCGAAGGAATGATTTCATCGAATACAAGTTATTTGGAAAATTATGAAAAACAATATGAATCCACTAAAGAAAATCTAGCTGCTCTTGCAAAGGTAACTTTTATTATTTAACAGTCAGTTTTGAAATATCAAAGATATCACTAAAGTAATGCCTTTATTAATATGAATAAAGGAAAGTCTACCCAGATTTGTCTCCACCGTCTACTCCATAAAGGATAGCGTTTCATCGCAATTAGATGCATATAAAAATAAAATTGACTCGACTATGATATCACTGGACGCCTTAACGACAGCCGGTAAAAAAAGTTTTTTGGAATCATCTCACTACTTTGATCAATAGCAATTAATATAACCATTTTTTGTTGACGTCTCCAGCCAACGAAGAAGCCACGAAACTGCATCGGCAACATGATCGATTATTTGATGATTTCGCGACTGGAATTGCTCAAAGTTATTCCGACATTCAGAACAAGATGCTCAAGACACAAAATGAACTTAAAGCCAGCACACAAAATATTGTAGAATTGGTAAGAGAAAACTCATTGTTACTTGTTGCGGCAGTACTCGAAAATTAAACTTTATATCATAATCGTTCAGAAACAAAACAGTGATAATACAACGAACGACTTATATAGTGAAGTCGCTAATCGGATTAAGAAATCACGAGACGAAATTAATTCCTTCCAACTTATTCACCGTGAACACGCGTGACAACCGGAAATTAAATGCACGCCCTTTTTCTGAATCATTATTATTATTATTATTATTATTATTAGCGTTAATAAAAACTTCAAATTTGTGCTGCACAGTTTTGATGTTAATGATTACCATTTAGAATAACTATTATATGACTTTGTTAATTGCACTGGCTCGCTGCTTACGCTTCATTTTTATTACACGGTTTTAATTCGTCATAATAATAATGATAAAAATACCGAACGTTTTTTATTTTTTCATTTTCTTTTTCCGCCTTCGATATGCATTTTTGTGTTTATTTACTTGATTCGGTTAACGCCATCATTCTATTCCTGAATTTTCACTATACCATAACCAATGGCTATATAAGTAGAAGATTCTAGACGGAGTAAAGTGCTCAAGTAGCAATTCGAACCCGAGAATGATTACTACAAAAAAATATAAACGTTTTGTAAAAAAAATTATTGGTGTAAATGTTTACTCATTCTCCTTGTTATTTATTACCTGATCAAATGGATTACTTTAAATAAAGCACCCGAGCCAATATTGAAGTTCACATTCTGTCACGTTAGGTTTTTTCACATTAAATGTGTCAAAATCGTAATTTATTTGCAAAATATTTGTTGACACAAGGATTAAAAATTCATGAAAAAGGAAAATGTACTAGGTGGTGTGGTATTTGTTTGTTGCACACACATACAAAGAAAAATTTTTTCTGCGAATGTTTAACCGTAAATATTATTATGACGATATTAATTGTTTACTTAAATCATTCCTTTTATGGATATTTTTTAAAAAATTACATTTATTAGTGCGTCTAGGAATTAGAACTTGACCAAAATTTTAAAATATCTTACGTAATTACGTGCATATGATGTCATATACTAAACCACGAGAAAAAACCCTGCATGAAAAAGCACTTCTTTTTACAACCAATAACGCGCGATCTCTTTTGATGAACGTGTGATATCCTTCTTCCTGGAAAAAGGTTTAAAGTGATAATTCCATGTCAATTTTCACAAGTCCCTCTTATTAGAAATTCATTAACTAGTAATTTTTGGACCTCAAAACACAACCCCTAATGCTATATATTATTACATAATATTTATTGATTATATACATATATGTAAAATATGTAAAATTAAATTACTAATTAATTTGTTCGACCTGTTAACAATTGATCCCATTTGTCGATCGTATTGCTATATATAGTAATTTAACCATATATGTATAAAATAATCCTATATTTAGATTTTAAATTAAAATAATAATCAATTTATTGATTACTATATATGCCAATATAATTATATATGTGATATACAAATGATACAATTTCTTTATTATTGGATTTATTAATTTTTTTTTTAATTAGTCATACTGATTGGACTTTTATTGATCGGTTATTTTAGGAGTTTGTATAGAATTATTTTACAAAAGTAATTCTTATATCTAATTTATATTATCCTAATTCATTCAAATCACCTTTAGATTTTATTCCATAAAAATATCATCCTGTTAGTTACCTTGCTGTACCCAGACACTCCTAATATTTCAAGAATTCACCAAAAGATTTTTTTTTTATATTTAGGGAGCTATTTGGGATTGTTTATTTCATGAAGTCTATTATATATTATAGAAGTATGTATTCTATTCTTAATTAATATCCTTTTACTATACTTAGTCCTCAAAAAGTTAATTGTCCATTAATATTTTTTAGTTTCTATGTGATCCCATCAAGTTTCCTGACAGTCATTGGTAAATTAGATTAACAACTGTAATCTTTCAATAACCATTTTTAATCACTCTTCAAATATGACTTTATAGGGACTTTTCTTAATTATTATATAAGACCATTGGTCTCTTCCAAACATATCAGTCCCTATAGATATCCCATCATAACTATTCAACTTTATCACTCCTCGTTAATAACCCGTGTGATCCAATCTTTAGTAACTATTGGTGATAACGATCAAAGATCTCTCAATATATATTCAGTCCTTATATTTTTGTAGCCAATATATGTGACTGAAGTCTTCCAGACCTCCCATAAGATTGGAGTTTTTAAAGAGAAGTAGATTCTATATGAGACCGATAAGTTCCTGAGTCTTATCATTATCTTTCTTAGCATTCTTGATGTCTGCATATATTTCAAGTGATAAGATATCATGATTAATTTTCTAGTATTAAAATTGATCAGGACTTGTATGACTTGATTTATAATATTATGGTTTAGATAATGAATTTTTATAGGTTATTTATGTCCAAGTATATATATGATTGATTAGTATGCATTCTTATATAATGTAATCTATAATATAAATATTGTTCTGAAGTAGGATTGAATCAGACTTACAAATGATAATTTGGAAGTACATTCACTGTGCTATTGATCCACAGGTCAGATTTATTAATAATTTTAGTATTAATATAATTATTATATTATTAATTAAAAATAATATATTACATATTTTGATTTTTATTTATAATTAGAAATAATATAAATATGAATATTTATTATATTTTTATATTTAATAAGAGTTAACTTGATTTTATAATATATATGACCTCAATTGATTTTTTTTTATTACTTATAATTAGATAAATATAATATATTTATTAATAATTAAAAAAACTGATAGAAATATATTAAACAATTATATTATAGTTAAATAAATTTTATATTATATCTAATTAAAATAATTTTTTGAAAAAAACTCTTTCCACTGATCCTCAAATTTTCAGAAAATTTCTTTTTTTGGTAATTTTTTGAGAAAAAGAGAAACCAGTAAAAAAAAAACAAGAGAAATCAAGTGAAACCACGTTTACAACTAAACAACTTACAAAAACAAGTTCAAAAACTCTTTACAGAGTACAAAAGAGATAAGTTTTACAAAAATTACTAACTTCTACTATATAAATTTTTTCTTTTAGAAAGAGAAAAACAACAAG